ATATTTTCCACCGTTGGGGGCGTTCCCCTAATAGACCTTTGTGCCTCCTACAAAAATACAAAGTGCTGACATGTTCCAGAACGGGCATCGGTCAGGGATCCCTAGGGAGATACTTTTCTTCTCAACTGGGGCAGAGGGTCCTCTCCTATACGCATTTTCCCCCCATCACGCTCATTCCCAGGATCCTCAAAGATCCAGGGTTGGAGCCAAGGTGATTCTCACAGTACTCTCCTGGGCACATTAGCTCTGGTGTCCTTTTCTCTACTGAATGTCTCTGCACTCACCATATGCCCTTCTCAAACTCCACGATCTACTGACTCAGGACTGGGGCACCCTCTGCCCCAGACCCTGCATCTGACAGTTTGGTTCCTAGTTGGTTCTTCGCATCTGAAGATCTCTGCTCTGCACAAGTTAGAGATCTTGATGCATAGCAGAAAGGATACCACTTGCTCTGCTTACCTCCAGAAGTGGCATAGGTTCATCTCTTGGTGCACTGCTACACGTGTTGAGCCATATGCAGCACCCCTTCATCAAATCCTTGAATACGTCCTCTCCTTAAAGCAGTCAGGACTAGCTATTGCCTCTCTTAAAGTACACCTCACGGTGATTATGTCCTTCCAACATTTCTAAAGGGGTTAACCAACTTTAACCCGCCTCGCAGACCCCTACCTCCATCCTACAGCTCAGTCCTAGACACCTTTACTCAACCACCTTTCAGACCTTTGGCTATTTCACTCTCGATGACACCCAAGGTGGTTTTTCTGTTTAATATTACAGCTGCGCACAGAGTCAGTGAGCTTGCAGCTTTGATGGCAGTACCATAGTATTCTATCTTACAATGACAGTTATTCTATGGCCGTGGTCACCAATAGGTCGATCGCGAGCTACTGGTCGATTGCGAGGCCTCGACCAGTCGCTCGCGAGGCGTCCCATCTGCCCCGCCCCCATTTCCCTCCCACCCCCGAGAAGCCCCACTACTTACCTCGAGGGGTGAGTCAGCCCCGCAGGAGGCGCAGCGGGTTTCCCGGTGCGTGTGCGCGCGTGGGGGGGTGGGTGTGGCCCTGGGGCAGGCGTGCGCGGGCTTCCCTGCATGGGGGGGGGGTCAGCCCCCTGGGCAGGCGTGCGTGGGGCTTCCCTACGTGGGGAGTGG